TTAACTCCATAATATAACTAAAAGAATTCAGGATTCAAACTGGGGCCTCTAAGACCCTAAGGCTTGTGCTCTGTTCCCCGTTGGTGGCGATGCTGCATCCCTCACACCTCTGACAGACCCAGGAGACAAGATCAAAAACCAGCCAAGGTGCCTCAGGTTCATGATCCGTGCATTTGCCAGCGGCTGCTCCTGGGAGTATCAGGGAACCTCTCTTTAGACTCTGACCTTAGGAAGATCAGCTGCTCTCTGCTGTCTGGAAGCTCTCCTTCCTAGAGAGACGAGGAGGTACGGAATCGCCCACCACTTCCTGCAGCATGAAGTCTCAGCATATAAGCTCTAGGCCAACTGGAAACTTTGGCGTACCCAGTACCATCACAGGACCCAGCTTTTCTGACTTTAACAACTAGTCTGACATTCAGTTCCAACCTGGTTTACTCAGATCAGCTTCTAAACCTTTGCTGCACAAAGTGAGAGCTCCAGAGATCAGCAACATCTTAGCACCCTCTGGGAGCCTGTTATAAACAAGGAGTCTCGGGCCCCACACCAGTCCTACTGAATCAGAAACTGCATGTCAGCAAGATGTTCCACGTGACTCGAATGTACATTCGAGATTCAGAAGTACTGTTCAAGAATACCTATGGAGTTTTTAAAAAGTGTGAATTTCTAGGAACTAGAGTCCAAAATTACAGAGAAACAGGTAGAAGAATAGTGGGAAGCCCAAATACATGTATTTATTTTTCTAACTAGTTTTCTTGTAGTCTCTTATTCCTAAGAAAACTCAAGTCCTTTCTGGAAGGAATCAAAGATCAACTTTGTTTTGTCAATAGCTGTACCGGCAACCAACAGACGCTCCCTCCTCCCAGGAGCAGTGTGGATGATTTCATACCGGCCCTCTCTAGGGTGGAGCTCCACAATGCAGCAAATGAATGGAATCATTCTGCTTATCATTTTTCCCCTCTGCCCCAATCTTCTGCCCCTAACTCACAAGGAGGTCTAGACTACTGTCTCCATACCAACAGCAGAACTCCTATATATTTTATTTTCTTCTGATCCACTGCCTTAACCTAGTAGGAAAAAACAAAGGAGGGAAAGATGGGAGGGAACAAATCAACATGTGTTATACACCTACTGTATACCAGACCCATCTCATCCCCCAAAACAGTTAACATATATTTCTCATTCAACATACATAAAAATATGTAAGATTGGTATTAATGCCCCAACTTTCAGAAGTGGAAACTAAACTTCAGTTAAGTTAAAATTCTCCCAAAGCCAGGTTTCAAAACAGGATCTAATATTGGGGTTTTGCTGCATTCTTTCTACCACCCCCAACTTGCTTACACATAATAGTATGTAAATAAACATTTTTACTGAGATACATTCCCATACCATAAAATTCAATTTGGTGGGTTTTAGTATATTCACACAATTACAAAACTGTCACAACCATCTAATTCCCAGGGCACTTCCATCACCCCCAAAAGAAACCCCAAACCAATAAGCAGTCACTTCACATTCTTCCTGTCTCCCCCATCCCCGTACCCTCCTGCTGCCCCCCAACCCCTGTCCTCAGAAAATACTTGGGTCTCTATTAGTTTGTCTCTTCTAGATATTTCACAGAAGGGCTTTCACACATTATGTGGTCTTTTGAGTCTGGCATCTTTCACTTAGCATAATGTTTTCAAGACTCATCCATGTTGTAGCACCTATCAGTACCTCAGTCCTTTTTTATAGCTGAATAGAATTCCATTGTTGGATATACCATACTTGGGTATCCATTCAAGAGTTAATGGACACTTAGGTTGTCTCCATCCTTTGGCTTTAGGAATAATGCTCCTATAAACATTCATGTACAAGTTTTTGTGTGGTCAATGTTTTCAATTCTCTTGAGTATATACCTAAGAATGGAGTTTCTGGGTCATAAAATAGTAATTGTGTTTAATTTTTTGAAGAATTGCCAAACTGTTTTCCAAATTGGTTACCTCTCCCCTGGCAATACATGAGGGTTACAATTTTTCCAAATCCTTGCCAACACTTGTGATTTGTCTTTTAGCCATCCTCCTGGCTATAGAGTGGTATCTCTTTGTAGTTTTATTTGCATTTTCCTAATAATAATGAAGAACATCTTTTCATGTGCTCTTTGGCCTTTGTACCTTTTCTTTGGAGAAAGTACTCATTGCCCATTTTTAAATTAGGATACTTGTCTTTTTATTGTTGAGTTTTAAGTGTTCTTTATATATTCTGGGTACTAGGCCCTTATTAGATAGACAATTTGCAAATATTTTCTCCCATCATTGGGATAGTCTTTTTACTTTCTTGATTTGAATGCTAATTTGAAGTTAATTTTCTAGACAGTATGAGTTAGGGGTTCAATTTCATTCTTCTGCATGAGAATATCCAGTGTTCCAGCATCATTTGTTGAAAAAATTATTCTTTCCCCATCAAACTGTCTTGGCACCCCTGTCAAAAATCAGTTGATTATCAACTGATTTATTTCTGGACTCTCAACTCTATTCCATTGATCTATACATGTCTGTCCTTATGCCAGTACAGTGCTATCTTACTATAGCTTAGTAGCAAGTTCTGAAATTGTAGTTAGCAAGAGTCTTCCAACTTTGTTGTTATTGTTTTTTCAAGACCATTTTGGCTACTCTGGGTCTTGTGTTATAGTTTTCGATATATAAGTCTTACATTTCTTTTGTTAAATTTATTTGATATTTTTATTGAATATCTTCAAGTTTACTGATACTTTCTCTTGCTAGTTAAAATCTGTTGGTAAGCCCTTCTACAAAAATTTTCATTTCAGTTATCATACTTTCCCACAGCAGAATTTCTTTTTTTCAATCATTTTTATCTCCTTATTAATATTCTTTATTGGGTAAGACATTATTCTCATACTTTCATTTCACTCTTTAGACATGGTTTATTTTATTTCTTTGACTATATTTATAATACTTGAGACAACATCTCTAAGTCTAATATCTAAGCCTCCTCAAGGACAGTTTCTATTGGCTGGGAGGTATGTTCCTGTGTACTGACCATACTTTCTTGTTCCTTTCCATGTCTTGTAATTTTTTGTTGAAAACTGGACTTTTAAAAAATACAATGTGATCATTCTGGGTATGCGATACCCCTCCCTCTTAGGGTTTGTTGTATTTTCCATGGGTTATTATTGTTCGTTGTTGCTGCTGCTGGTGTCTGTTTAGTGACTTTTATAAATTAATTCCGTGAAGTCTATTTTCTTTATCATGCAGCCACTGATGTCCCTGCTCAGTTCACTTGGTGGGCAACTAATAAAATCTGAGAATTCAGATCCATAGGCAATTTCTAGACAAGTCACACAGTGACAGTTCTCTGGAAATGAGGCTTTTGGAAAGCTCCAAGCCTACTCTGTCCCCTTCCTTTTTTTTTTTTTTTTTTTAAAGATTTTATTTATTTATTTGACAGACAGAGATCACAAGTAGTCAGAGAGGCAGGCAGAGAGAGAGGAGGAAGCAAGCTCCCCACTGAGCAGAGAGCCCGATGTGGGGCTCAATCCCAGGACCCTGGGATCATGACCTGAGCCAACGGCAGAGGCTTTAACCCACTGAGCCACCCAGGCGCCCCATACTCTGTCCCCTTTCATTTGCTACTCATTTGCCAGTCTACATGGCTCCCATAGTGGCAAGGCTGTTGACTTCTTTTTTTTTTCTTTAATGTTTATAGAGTAATAGTAAATTGATAGTACAAAGCTCCCAAAGAGGGAGGGGACCCAAGGGGGTTGCCCAAGGCTGTTGGTTTCTAAGGCTAGTACAGAGGTGTGGTGAAAGGGATGTAAATAAGCCAAGTTAAAATGCCACAATGTTCTTTGTGCTCAAGGAGATCCAGCCATTTTTCTTAAACAAATGTTCCTCATATTTTTGTAAGCCTTTGGTTAATTTCAAGAGTTAAGAAAAAGTTGATTTTGACTGTTTTTTGCTAGTGTTCTCACTGCTTTTCTGGAGGATATTTTTCAGAGGTCCTAGCTCTACCAGTCTGTGAGTACTTCTCTTGAAAAAACATATATAGGGGCACCTGGGTGGCTCAGTGGGTTAAAGCCTCTGCTTTCGGCTCAGGTCATGATCCCAGGGTTCTGGGATGGAGCCCCGCATCGGGCTGTCTGCTCAGAAGGGAGCCTGCTTCCCTTTCTCTCTCTCTGCCTGACTCTCTGCCTACTTGTGATCTCTGTCTGTCAAATAAATAAATAAAATCTTAAAAAAAAAAAAAGAAAAAAGAAAAAACATATATAAATATCATCTTGATTTGATTCTACTTTTTTCTGGTTTCCTTTCTACTTACGTAGTACTCCTTCAATGAATAAATCCTAAAGATCATTAGAGAGATATAAGAAAACATATTTTCTGATTTTTTAGTAGTTTCCTTGTGCTATAGCACTATGTAGGAATGTGTCAGGAATAAGGCGGACCAAAGCTATTTCTTTCCAGAAAATAAATATAAATCCAAAAGCACAGTCTTCCTAGTTTTATGCTAATCACAAAAATAACTGGGATTGGAAACATGTTCAATAAAGGGGAGCCAGAAAATGATATGTACTATTCCAAGAAAACAGAGCTTTTATGCCTGAATTCCCTACAGAGAAGTGTGGAGCTTCTAAATGGGGCAGGTATGTGATGATTACTCAACTCTGAATTTTCCTTTGCCAGTGCTAAGCCTTTTCTCAACAGCTTTCTTCAAATAGCAGAGGCTGAGATGAATGAGATGCAAAATAGAACCATGATCAATACCTTCCCCTTCTTGAGCAAAACTGGACTCAGTAAAGGGTCATGCTGACGAGTACGGGGTGAGTCACCCTACTGATATCCTGGGCCGAATTTCCGACACCAGTTCATGTTGGGGAGGTGTGGGAAGGAGATTTGCATGTGTGACCTCAACGCAGAAGCTCCAGCCCTGGAGCATAAAAACAGTTGAGTTGTAGGTATTACCCAGCACCGGGACCAGCAGTTTCCAAACAAGTCAAGACCATGGCAGTCCTCAGCTCCATGTTGCTGCCACTCTGGCTGTTTCTATGCTGCGGGCTACTGTGTTCTTCTGCCAGCTCTGCAGACGACATTGACAACTGCGTCCTCTTCAGTGAGGTCATCACCACTGGCCAAGGCATCATGGCCAATTCAGATGTCTATGAAAGCAACACAAACTACACAGGTGAGGAGAAGCCATTCTTTTTGTTGTCCTTTGTCTTCTGAGGGGAATTAACTGCATTTCAGAGCACACCCCTCCACTCCCGCTCTCAATCACACAAAACATGTTTTTGACCCAGATGGGAAGTGGGGGCAGAAACAGAAAGAGAATATGTGTGAGAGAGTTGGTCGGGTGGGACTGTTTCCTCCCTGTTCTTTGTGCAAACCGGAGCCAGGAGTCATTAAGTCCTGACACCCAGGTTAACAGCCCCAGCAAGAGCACACCTGTGGAAAGTTCTCAGACTTAAATAGAGTGGGTGTTTTTATTGTTTTCAGGGGTAATAAGTGCATCACAATGTGTGGTCTGTTCACATTCATTTGATAAAACAATGCCACCATGGATGATAGTACATTGCACAACACCGGGAGGCACTGTTTGCCTTTGGTGTGTGGGTGGAAACCCTAGTGAGCTAGGCAGAGAGAGTGCTACTCTCCCACCTTGTTTATGATAAGCAGCCTGTAGCTGAGAAAAGTTAGGTTACAGGTCAGGGCTCCCCTGCTATTAAGGGGCAGAACCGGCTCCTGAATCTTGGTCTTTCCTTCCCAGTCCAGTGCTTTTCTTCAAGGTACATAGGAACATTTAACAAATATTCTGTTTTGGATCAGCCAAAACTATAAGTCAAAAAAGGTACTTTCTGATTACTTTCATAAAAACAACATTTAATATGGTGGTTTATATGTATTCATTCATTTAGATCTCACAACATGTTAGGCAGATAACATACCATGACCATTCCCATTTCACAGATGAGAAAACAGAGGTAGAGGTGTTAGTCACTTCCTCAGGTCACAGCTACTTACAGGATGGAGCCGGAACATGAACCTGAGCAGTGTAGCTTCAGACACCCAGTCCTTAACCACTGCATTCTATAACCCTCACAGTAATGAAAGCTAGGACTTCTTACTACATGCTGGGTGCTGTTCTAAGGGTAAATGCTATTATTATCTTCCCAGATGAGAATCGCAGCATCGGGAAGTTAAAGTTTTACCCAAGGCCATCGTGGATAGCCTTGCTAATCTCTGAACCTAAGTAACAGCCAAGATTTGTCCAGCTCTGTTCAGCCAGGATGTCCAGCTTCAGAGCCTGCTGTCTCATTACTATGTCGTCCTGCCCTCCTAGAACTCTAACCAAATTCTGCAGAGAGTACCTAGGTGATGTCCACACCCATGAACCACAGATTCCAGACTTCAGCGGGAGAATGACGATGGTCTGCCTTCACACGCTTGTCCCAGCTTGTCCTTTTCTCTTTTTTCATGGGGACTGTCACTAAGGGCCTCAGCTGTGACTCAGATCATTGTATCCTACTCCCTCAGTCCTTGTCCTCCCAAAACAGGGAGGATAAACTTACAATTCGAGATGAGGACAGGAAGGCATATGTGTGACCCTGCACATGGGGAAGGACCTGGGGGGTCGAGGGACTGCTACAAAAGAGATCAAGACCCCACACTTAAGATAACTTATCACAAGGTGAGGGATTTTGCTGTTGACATGGAAGAAAAAGAAAACTATCTCGTGAAAATGCTGGGTGGAGATATGTAGACTGGGGTTCTTCTGAAAGTAGCAAGGCAGGAGAACAAACAGTCAAGAGAGGATCCGTAAGACCCCTTGAAAGGGAGTATGCTGGGTGAGGGGGAAATCGAACATTTGCCGAGATGTTGGGTAGAACAGAGAGAAAGGGGAAGGAGGAGAGGAACTCCGGTTCATTGAACACCTATTTCGTGCCAGGCATTTCTCCAAACTTTACCCCACTTCATCTCAGAGCAGATATGTGCTAAAACTCCATGATAAACCAAATCACTATGTGAATTATTTAAGCTGAGAGTCAAAATCCTACGCTCACAGAGATGTGAAGTGCCAGACTCCACACCCAGGATTACACAACAGGCTCCATGTTTTCCTCATGAGAGTGTCATTGCAGGATTGCACTGGGACTCAGGACTTTTGAGAAGACTTGGTAAAGACCAACAAAGGCCAACCACTTCTCCTTATTTTGATTTTAAAGTTTTTTAAATTTCAGGGTTTGTGTCAACATTGGTAAGTCATGTATAAATGGGTTGGAATGTCCTATAGCACACATGCAGCTCAGGCAGGTTAACATTAGAAGAGGTTCTCTGGGTCTGTCTTGGTACCAATGAAAGAAACCCATGATGCAGTGACATTTACATTAAGATTGTGCTGGGTATATATCTGCCTCCATGGGCAAGAGTGATAAAAGGTGCTTGCCTTTTTGCCTGAACCTTCATCTTTAAGGGCACTGTCCAGCACTGGATGTACAACTATTTTTTTAATTAACATATAATGTATTATTTGCTTCAGGGGTAAAGGTCTGTGAATCCTCAGGCTTACACAATTTACAGCACTCATCATAGCACATGCCCTCTCCAATGTCCATAACCCAGCCACCCTATCCTTACCCCCACCCCAAGCCCCAGCAACCCTCAGTTTGTTTCCTAAGTTTAAGAGTCTCTTATGCTTTGTCTCCCTCCTCAGTCCCACCTTATTTTATTTTTTCCCTCCCTACCCCCCCATGACCCCCTGCCCTGCCTCTTAAATTCCTCATATCAGAGATATCATATGATAATTGTCTTTCTCTGATTGACTTATTTCACTTAGCATAATACCCTCTAGTTCCATCCACTTTGTTACAAATGGCAGGATTTGGGGGTTTTGATGGCTGTATAGTATTCCATTGTGTGTGTGTATATGTATGTATGTGTGTGTATATATATGTGTGTGTGTGTGTGTATATATATATATATATCTCACATCTTCTTTATTCATTCATCAGTTGATGGACATCTAGGTTCTTTCCATAATTTGGCTATTGTGGACACTGCTGCTATAAACATTGGGGTACATGTGCCCCTTCAGATCACTACATTTGTATCTTTAAGGTAAATACCCAGTAGTGCAATTGAAGGGTCATAGGGTAGCTCTATTTTCAACTTTTTGAGGAACCTCTATGCTGTTTTCCAGAGTGGCTATACCAGCTTGCATTCCCACCAATAGTGTAGAAGGGTTCCTCTTTCTCAGCATCCTCACCAACATCTGTCATTTCCTGACGTTAATTTTAGCCATTCTAACTGGTGTGAGGTGGTATCTCACTGTGGTTTTGATTTGTATTTCCCTGATACCAAGTGATGTGGAGCACTTTTTCATGTGTCTGTTGGCCATCTGGATGTCTTTTTTTTTTTTTTGTAGAAATGTCTGTTCATGTCCTCTGCCCATTTCTTGATTGGATTATTTCTTCTTTGGATGTTGAGTTTGATAAGCTCTTTATAGATTTTGGATACTAGCCCTTCATCCAATATGTCATTTGCAAATGTCTTCTCCCATTCTGTCTGTTGTCTTTTGGTTTGTTGACTGTTTCCTTTGCTGTGCAAAAGCTTTTGATCTTGATGAAGTCCCAATAGTTCATTTTTGAGTGCACAACTTTTTAAATCAATGAGTAGTTATTTAGGGCCCTCCAAGTCCCCAGCATTGGGCTGGCCAGATACTGACATGGAAGAAACCACAGTACAGAGAACAAGCCAGAATGTAATTAACTACTCAACTCTATAGGAACAAATGTAAATGTTTCAGGAATGAGAGGAAGAGAGGGCTGGACTGGGCCAGAGGTGGAACATAGGTAAGGTCCTGGAGAGTAAGCAGGGATGGGATGTGTGATGAGAAGGCAGGGTTCCAGACATGAACAAAGGCCAGGGACAGGTATGGGCCAGTTGTACCTGCAGAACCAGAGGAGGGTTGGCTGTGCCTAGAGCAGGAGTGCAAAAGCACAGTGAGCCAAGTTAGGAGGGTCATAAAAGCCATGTGTTGGGTACTGTAATCAACAGAAGTAAAAATGTAAAAGCAGAAATCTTTAGGTCGTCTAGAAAGATGGGTGCTTGAAAGGTTTGGGAGAGTACTTTGTCCTCACAGAAGAGCTGTATGTGGAATGTGATCTGGCTGCAGCCTGAAGAGGGAAGGTGGAGGCCAGAAAGCCAGGTTACAGATGCCTAGGAGGGAAGGACAGAGGCGGGAAGCCAGTGTGAGAGAGGGAGAGCAGAAGTAACAGCAGAGACAAGAGCTTTCCCATGGGAGAACTGACAGACTTGGTACGATCTCAGGATACCATTGCTGAGCACCACCCTCCTCACTATCGTGCACACATTTAAAACAGTCAGGTTCTCAGTGGGCGAGTCAGGCCAGTGGGGTTTGGCTCAGCCTACCCTGATTGGCCAAAACAACAGAACAGAAATGTTTTGTGCTAAAAAAAAAAAAAATAAATAACAATCACAATTCATCCAACACCCATCATGTGTTGAAAGTCTTACACTCTCTGTGCTTTTCCCAGGAACCTTGTAGATAAGGTACTATGACCTCCGTATCATGAGGGCTACTGTCCTCATCCTCAGACCCAGGAATAGACCTGGTGTAGAGTCAGCATTCCATAATTATTTGCAGAGCGAGTGATGAACAGTAAGGAAACCGAGGCTGAGAGAGGAACTGACTCTCTCCTAAATGTGAGAGCTAGAATTCTTATCCAGTAGGACTGTCTGATCCTATTGTGCCACATGCTTGACTTGCTTTGCTTTGTACAGAGAAACCTCTGAAAGGATTTGGGGTGGCTGACAGGGCCCTGGAGAATAACACTTTAGCACTGAGAAATTCTCCCAGAAGGGCTCTTTTAAGGAAGGGAATGGACAGGCTGAAATATCATCTTGAAGTACGCTCCCTGTCACACATCAGAATGCTAGAATCGGCAAGTGTCAGTGCGCTCCCTGTGAGTATATCCTATGCTAGGTCAACAGGGAAGAATTACGTGACTGGGGAAGGCCAGGAAACCCTAGCATTATTGGACAGGGGCTCAGAGACCACACCCCTTCCCTCACATTCAACAACAGAGACCAAGGGAATCAGTGATTCTGGGACCAAGACTGGGCTCTGCTTTAACTTGGCACTAAGGGTGCCTAATGTCATGACACACTGCCCAGTGGGCCCACTTGACCCCTTCCCAGGCAACAACCCCGCCTCTCCCCACCCTGCTCTCCCCCTGAGAGAAGGGCAGAACAGCCCATCCCCTTTATCTGGTGCACAGGAACCTGGCTCTGGAGGTTAAGAGACAGCCAGGATCTCACCTCTGTTCTACAGCAAAACCAGGGCCAGAGAACAGGTCTTCTTTTGTTTACCATTTACTGGAGAAAATGTGGAAAACAAAAACGCACAAGGAAGAAAATAAAAATAATTGATAATCCCACTACCAAGAAATCACCATAGTTAATATCTTGTATTTCCTTCCAGACCTTTGTCTGCAACCACATTTAAGATAGGATCATACCGTGTGTACAACACTATTTGTAACTTCCTTTTTCCTGCTAAAGTTTGATTTCATGACCCTCATCCCCCTTCTGACTGCACAAATGGCTGACTGGTTCCCTGCCCTTCCCTCCTAGTATGGGTTCCCGTGAATGCCAGCATTAGCTCTGTGGTCCTGCGAGCCGTGGATGCGAACAACAACTCACTGGGCCTCTGGGAGAAAGCAGACGAGGTTTGCCGCAACAGCGCCCTGTATCGCCTGGATAACCAGAGGGACCAGATCTTCATGGCAAACTGGGTATCTCCTAACTCGACGAACATAACCACAGTCACGCTACAGTAAGAACCTACCCGTGTGTGATCTGCTTTGGGCTTGTACAAGCGCAGACGGGGTTTACACAGTTTCACACTGACCTTGGATGACTCAAAATGCACTCCAGGCATGATGTGGGGAATTTAGTAGCTGCACTCCTTTCTGCCTCACTACTCTGTCCTTCTACCTGCAGGAGTTCCCACACGCGCGCAGACACACACACACACTCCTTCCCCCTCCCCCCCACTCCCAGGCAGGCGCAACAGAGACAAAGATAGCTCTAGTGTTAAAGAAAACTATAGCTGTACAGTGGTTAAAACCAAACAAGCAAACACATGAAAACACTTTATTTGGGACTGTTGCAACAGGAGAAAAGAGACCTCAGGATAGAACCAAGTTCAGTTCTGAATACATCACAGGCAAGTGGGAATTTATAGCCATGGAGCAGGGTGGGATCACTGAGAAGAAACAATAAGGCCTGTGAGGGGGGCTTCTGGCTAAACTGACCTAACAGGATTCTTGCAGAAGGCAGGCCAGGGCCGTCAGATATTCCCGGGGGGTGGGAGAAGACGAAGAACTAGGTATTAGGGGTACACGGTGGGAGGTACTTGCTGAACTGATTTAGCAGGGTTCTCACTAAAACCGGATTTTACAAGGAAGTGCACAGACAGGCCTAGAAGAAGGTTCTGGAGCCTGACTAAAGTTGGTGAAGCAAAGAATCATTGTCACTGGGCACGCTGTTTGCTTCAAATTCCAGAGAATCATTTTTTTAAACACACTTTCATTTTGGAAATGCCACATGTGATGACTGTGTCATAAAACTGGCTTTCTAATGTCACACAAAATGGACACCCTCAGACTGTGAGGTGAGGCCACATGGGGGCTTGCATTACACTTTAACAGAAAGGCCTTCTTCTCAGCTAATGACGTTATCCAAGTTACCTCGGGAGCCCATGTCAAGAGGCCCTCACACTTTCAGACTGCCACTTGTATTGAAAGGGCAGGTCTGACCATCAGGCCGTGGCCCCTGGTGGTGTCCCCTTAGTGAACAGCCACCAAGTCTCTGTGGACATTGGTGGTTCTGATGCCATCAAGCCATCCTGCCTTCTCCTGCCATCTTGGGGCCTGGTCAGACTTAGCTGGTTCTGGAGAGGTGACTGTGCCCACCGCGACTTCCCAGAGTAAAAATCCAAGGGAGCTGCTGCATTCCAGCCTCCCGAAGACAGCAGTGTCTTAGAAGTCGGCCAAAGCTAATCAGGGCAACGACTTTGCTTTCCTCTCACCTCATTAAAGCCTCCACACTCCATGCAACAACAGATAAAAGGCCCAACGGTAACAACCTGCCACAGAAACAGCACATTCCCACCAAAAGTGTGGTCTGCAGACCCCTCCTATCCTGCACTGGCCTCTCTGCTTGTTCAGCCTTGGTACCCACTCCTGACACGGGGAGGGGAGCAGCACATATGATGGGGGTACGGAGAGCAGCTGGGTAGGGCACAGTGAGAGGTGAAGAGGCCCCTGTCCACGGGGCTCCACAATGAGTTTTGGGGAGGCAAGGCCCCTACAGAAATAACTGCAGAAGTTGAGTATCAATTCCTCAAGAAAGCATTCCCTAAACCCCCAGATCAGGCTCCAGCTCCCTGTTTGCACTCTCATAACTTCCACTGCTTTGTCACAACACGTCACAACTGCGATCAATTATTTAACTTGTTTATTGTTTTGGTGCAAGTCTGTTTCTCTGAAGAGACTGTAAAGTGCAACAAGGGTAAGAACCATGCCTGTCTCGTTCACCACTGTCCCCTCAGCACCAAGCATGGTGACTGGCATGTGGCGCACACTCATTAGTTAACTGTTGAACTTCTGAACAGGAGACGGGTTGATAATGGGACCACTGACCGAACAACACACCTAGCTGTACAGACCACTTAATAAACATTAAGCACTTACTATGTGTCAGGCATTGCTGACGACAGAACCTGCCCTCAAGGAGCCCTCTCATGGCGGGACTGGTTCACAGCAAAGCTATGCAGTCACGGGGCATGTCTCTCTAACGGGGCTCTGTCTGGGAATGACAACATGGAGAAATGACTTCACAGAAGTTACTGTGGAGTATCTGGGCAGATGGGACCAGGATGGAGATCACAGGGAGGACTGGCTTGAACAATGACCAGAAGTGCATTCCAGCTTGTGGGGAGTTCAGGGTGCTGAAGTCAGTGGGGTGGGGAACGGACAAGAGCTTAACTGGAGCAAGACCGTGGAGAATCTTAGTCAAGACAATATACGCCAGATCAGTAATGATCGGCTGGCGGTGCTGTAGAGAACACCAAGGTCAGGATCCCCTGGGAAGGCAGAAAAGGGAGCTAGACTTGTGAATTCCACAGTGGAGGGCCTCACCATTATCTCTCATTGATTTGCCCTCCACAGAGCCTTCAGTATTAATTTCTATGATACGGCTACATTTTCTTCTCTGCAACTAGGAAGAAAAGGTAAGTTCCTCTGTGGCCTATTTACACATCTGGCAGTGACTCGGTCAGCATGGAAAATTAGACGGTGGGTGCCTTAAAAGACTCTTCTAATCATGTGGTATCCAGATGTCAGTTGAGTTCCCCAACACCTGAGACCTACAGAAGACAGTGTGACCCCTTATCCTATGCCTCTGGGAAACAAAAGCCATTCCCAAGATTTTTGCAAACTCCCAGGGGCCTTTAATTCTCACAGCCACCTGTGGCTCCAGATTCCTGCTTCCTTGGAAGCCATTATGTCCAATGCCACACAGATGGATAGGAAAATCAGCTCTTTGTTTAATTTCCACAATGCATTCCCACTTGCACAATGCCTTCCTAGGTATAGCAGACTCTAACCAAAGGACTCAAGGAAAGGGGTAAAGATTTGCACAAAGAGGGCTTGAGAGTATAGAAATGCTCATACTTTCCTTAGTTCTTAGAGTGGCCTCTGGCCACCACCAAGGATTTCCACTGACCTTTAATAGGCTGTCGTCCCCAACTTCCAGCCATCCTGAAGCTCCTCGTCCTTCTCTTGCCTTCTCTGTCCTCTTCCTTCTCTCTTACCTCCTTCTAGGGAGCTAAAACAAATTCAAGAAATTGAGGTGCAGGAAAGATAGGTAACTTGCCCGAAGACACACAGAAAGTAAATGGAGAAATTAGGACTCGTGGTCTATATCTTATGCTTTTTTCCACTTTTCTTAGACTTACATCAAAACTATAAAGACAATCTTTCATTCTTAATGAAATTTTTAAATACGAAGTTCAACCAAGAACAAGAAGCATTAGTCCTTCTCAGTGTTTAGATAACAGGTCTTCCTTGGGGGTTCCCCAACACTGAAATACATGTAGTACGCGACCCATCTTCCTGCCGGCCATACATTGCAAATGTGGGAACAAGGGATATCTATTTACAACAACAAATTTCAAAGTGACTCTGTCTAAGGAATCTATTACATGAGTGCCTTCATCGCTTCCTTGGTTGTTGCCCTCTATGAAAAGACTGGGGTGTTATTTTCCTCCTGAAGGACATTTTCAAGATGAACACTCATGTAAATGCTAAGAAAGAAAGAAAAAAGTGTTTGCTTCTAATCAGAATTCCTTGGCTCCACATTAATAAAATCCAGCTTAGAAGGAAAGAAGAAAAGAAAGAAAAGAAAAAAGAAAAGAGGGGAGGGAGGGAGGAAGAGAGGAAGGAAGGAAGCAAGCGGTTGTGTTCAGACCTTGTGGTTCAGTGGGATACTGCAGAAACATCTGCCCTGGGAAACACTAAGAGATAAAACACAGTGCCTTGTAATTGGAGGGTACCCTCCCACCAGGGGAGAGTGCCTGAGCCTGAGCAAATCACGGGACTTCTCCCTTTTTTTTTTCTTCTTCCATATAGTCCTCTTTGATCCACAGACCCTTGGAGGCATCATTAAAAAGGCTCCAGTTTTTCCAAGATCAGACTACCCAGAGGGCCTGGTTATCTCTGCTTCTCTGGAAGGCAACCTCAGAGAACCAAAGAGTGGTCAGATCCCTGCACAGAAGAATGAGAAGTGCCTCTGAAATCACAGAGATTCCAGGGTTTGAACAGGGCTTCTGGGCACTTGCTTTAGAGCAGGGGTAGCCGTCCTCAGGTCTCGATGATACTAGTTTTGTTTTTTAAGATTTTATTTATTCATTTGACAGAGAGAGAGCACAAGCAGGGGAAGTAGCACGTAGAGGGAGAGGGAGAAGCAGGTACCCCACTGAGCAGGGAGCCCGACACAGAGCTTGATCCCAGGACCCTGGGAGCATGACCTGAGTCAAAGGCAGACTCTTAACTAACTGAGCCACCCAGGCCAGGCGCCCTGATATCTAATTCTCATAAGTATTATATGCAACCTTTGAAATTAGCAAGAAAAAAATATATAATTTTGCCATTCTGGATCATATTTGCACTGACTGATCTAATAGAACATTAAGGACATGAAGACATTTGAGGACAGAGTACCCACCCAACAACAAATTCAGTGGTTATATAAACTCCTTCCCCTGTAGGATTGTGTAGACCTTAAGGGTAGAGAATGTTTCTTACTTATTTTTTCTTCCTTGACGTTCTATACTCCCTGGTTTTCCTACTCCTCTACATACACTTAGCCACTAAAAAGTGTTGATGGAAGTTTGCTCATGAACTCTGGCTCTAGTGTTCCATCAGATTGGCCTCCTTTCTCCAGTGCCCCCCAAATCAAGTTCTGATGCCATTGTTTTGTTTTGTTTTGTTTTGTTTTGTTTTGTTTTCCAGACACAACTACTTCCCAGATCTCTACAACCAGGACAAACCCACACCCTACCTCAACAACAGGACACATCTACACAACAAGAACAACTCCACACTCAACTGCAACAAGAAAATACCTCTCCACAACCACAACAACCGCACACCCAACCCCAATGACAAGACACTTCTTCACAGCCAGGACAACCCCATACCCAGTCCCAAGGACAACCAGCTTGGCCAACAGAACCTTCCTCTGCCCCATCACAAGTGCCATTCAGATCCTGCTAGTGTTTCTCACCAGCAAACTCCTCTCCTAGAAGGAAGCTGAAAAACAGTTGCTCCTGCCTCTACCATATCCTCCTATGTTCAGTTCTAAACCAGTGCTCTGACAGGCATGTGAATGAAGACTTTACATCCTCAAATGGGCAACTCTACTACCATTGCTTTGGACCAAAACAGAGATCTGGGTGTCACTTGGTGGAGGGTAGTTAGTCCATTCACTGGTGGATTTGGGGCACACAGATGTTCAACTGGTGAACATCAACAGATGTTCAATTGTGTCTCTCATGACACAAATTAGGCTTTTTGTTGACTACTTAGACCTAGTCTGGGTGTAACCTGGAATTCTGGCTCTCGGTTTCACATGCTAACAGCCAATTCCGCAGCCAATGTAAACTTCTGTTCACTGCCAAATGATTCCTCCATACCTGAATCTCTGTGGGAACAACCTTTCTTCACTTTCAAGATGACCTCAGAGTTCTGATCAAACCCACTCAGCTTACACAGAGCTTCTGTGCCTCATGTCACCCAACAAGGAAAGGAAAAAGGAATAGCCCTGATATTATTGGCCACACCAGTAGTACATGAAGGACTAGAAAACAGGAATGTACCATGTCTGAGCAAACAACCATAGGTAAATATGACAGTATAAAGACATTATTTCCTATGTCTTACCAAATAAGCTACACTTCAAACAAAAATAATGTGTTAAATTCAAATATAAGTCTTTAATGAGTGATTAAAGTATAACATGCTGTCTAATTTTATTCATGTATATGAACATTAAAAAAATTAATAGAATGGTGAGAGTGTGTATGCTTTCAAAGTCAGATCTAAGGGTATAAAGTTTTCCCAATTTTACTTCTCCTCAAGTACAAACTGGTCATTTTTTCCTTAATGGTAATTTCCATTAAGAAATGGGAAAAATATTTATAGTATTCATAATACAATGTAAAACCAACAGAAAGCATGGGATTTCCAGTAATACCCTGGTAATAAGCAGCAAAGTTCTAATAATTACCTAAATTCCAAGATGCCAATATCTAGTAAGTCGCCTTCCTCTGGGACGGTTTCTGTCAATTTCTTCTTCCCTGCGAATAGGACACACTTTTCCTACTTGCAGGTCTTTTTTTATTGTTGAACCCCAGACATGTTGAAGGCTAAAACGTGGTGACTCTGGGAATCAGGCTCTGCCTCCCCTCCAGGACAGGCTGCTGCTTGCTGAGGGCCACCGTCCATTTGCTTAGGGACTTTTCCCAACTATGGTGTGCAGACCGCATTCCTTACTGAGTGTGGTCACTGACCGCTCTCTCCTGTTATCTCAGAGCTCAGTCAGCGACCTGAGAGATTTTCTTAAATGTCAAAATTTAGCAGCCTCTTTCCTCATTAAGCATTCCTCTAATAGCTGGAAGGCTTTTTTGTTTTTTGTTTTTTTAGATCCTAGAGTATTGAGAAAGTTCACTCTGACAGTCTTTGCCAGCTTAATGGTTGCTGCAGTGAACAGACCGATTCCTGGAGCTCCTCATCCTGCCATGTTCTGTGACATGGCTCAGTAGCCACCACTAGTAACTGCCACCTGCTGTGCTAAGCGCTTTGAGTGCATCTTCCCATTTAATCGTCACAACCCTAGGAGATAACAGATATTTTATAGACACGGACACTAAAGCAGAGAGAGAGAAATCATTTGCCCAGAGTCGTTCAGTGAGTAAGTCGTGAGGCTGGGTTTCGACTACTATAGAGCCTGCACCATTAACCAGGACACCCTAAGAGCCCCCTGTGTGGCTCCTGCACCCCCTGGCATCCCCCAGGACAGTGGGCTCCCCAGGGCCCTATGACAAGAAGGTATGGGGGTCTCTCACAGGCACAAGCAGGCTGTGTGCTCCAGCAGCGCTCCTCCATGCCCCACTCTGCTGCCACCTCTGAGAAAAACTGCAGTGAGCCCTGACCCAAAAGCTAGAACAGGCTCATATTTGTCCGTCATGGCCCAACCTGGCCGCATCGCAGGCTCCGTGTAGAAGGTGGGACAACTGTTGGAGCCTCAGCAAAAACACTCTCTCAAGCTGGAAAACTTTTAGACTCGGAGAAATATGGGGGGCTGAATTCAGACACGCAGCCCAGAGGCAGCTCGACAAGGGCACTGGATTTGGAGGCAGGGAGCCTGTTAAATTCCAGGTCTGCTACGAAGGAAGGAGGTGAACTTCTGCCTTGATTTCTCATCTGTTCCATTCAGGGTTGGCCCAGGTGGCATCTGAGCGCTCTTGCCGGTGGGTCTCCATTTTGACTTCCCTGTCACATCTACACCTTAGTTCTCAGGGTCTAGTCAGGAGTGGGAAGTCAGCGTTGCTCTGTGCCCTGTCTGATCGGCCGCCAGGAGCACTGCGGAGGATTCAGAAGCAAAAGCCAGGTTCAGACACAGAGTGTCATATTCGACAAGGGTTATCTTCCCTGGGCTCAGGAGGCCGCACTTCCTCAGGAGGCTTCCAGGTTATCTGCCATCCATGGTCTCTCCAGCGAGTCCAATGAGCCCCCAGTAGAGCAAGAGTAAAGAGATAAACAAGTATGCCTGTTCACAGTCTAGGAAAAAACTAATCCTGATGGGAGGGTGACCCACCACGAGGAAAACAAAGGCATTCAGGAACTTCGGGGAAGCCCCAGGCTGCACCTCCTGCACAGAAAAGAGGTGAACAAAAGATGGACTGTTTCCACTCCCACGCGCCCTTGCCCAACCTCATTCTTCTAATTCTAGGTTTTCTTCTTTGCGGCTTCCTGTTTTGTGAATTCCATGCATGCTTACCTTCTGTTAGAAACAGCAACTGCCCACCCCTTTATGGGAAGGGAGTGCTGAGTGAGTAGGAGAGAAAACTGCAGGCTTCCAAATCCCACACCAGAAAGATTACTGAGCCTGGTCAGTGGTCACTATCCCACTGACTGTTCAGAGCAGCAAAACACTCAAAACAAGAAGAACACGCAGACATTATCTTATGATCTATCAACCTCCACATTACTTTTGAAAATAAACATTGAAAAATACTAATAATTAAGTAAAAAAACTTTATTATTTCACTCGAGAGGTAGTTCGGCAATTGTCGTAAGGCATAAACTCTGGGGTCAGACTGCATGAGTTCAGTCTTGTTTGATTTTACCCCCTTGATAGTTGTGGGACCCTGTACGAGTTACTTAGCATCTGTGTGACTCGGTTTCTTCATCTGTAGAATAGGAAGAAATATAGTAGCTACCCATAGGCCATTGTGGAGATTAAACCAGTTAATATATAAAGCAGGTGGAATAGTAACTGGCACAAAGTAAGTACTATGTAATTATTTAATGGCTAAAAAAGGCATCACAACTGATATATTGATGTACAAGAAAGCCAAGTATTGTACCCATAGAAATATGTGCAGATAAAATGGTACCCATGACAAGGACTTAAAGTACTAACTTGTAACTCTTTTTTTTTTTTAAGATTTTATTTATTTGATAGAGAGAGATCACAAGTAGGCAGAGAGGCAGGCAGAGAGAGAGGGGGAAGCAGGCTCCCTGCTAAGCAGAGAGCCTGATGCGGGGCTTGATCAAAGGACCCTGGGATCATGACCTGAGCTGAAGGCAGAGGCTTAACCCATTGAGCCACCCAGGCGCCCCCTAACTTGTAACTCTTATGAGAAATGGTCAATGTCTGACTTTTCACAGCCTTTCTCCCCCTCAGCCCCACCTTCACCACCCTTCAAGCCTCTAAGTAAAACGTCTCCTTGCATGCTGGGTCAGCTCCTCTTACAGAGAAGCTAAACTGTGGGTGAGGGGTTGACAGTCCACATAATAAAGAGTTACGGGGGAAGGTGGAGAAGAAAGAGCAAAGCGAAGTCTGGGATTGGTATTGTGGGTCCTGAGAAGAGACGAGCCTCTGTGGAGTGCGTGGAGAGGCAAAGACATTTCCTAAGAGCTGCCCTCAGTTACTAACCTGTTGTCTCTTAATGTCCTTCAAGACATACAAGTGAAAATAAGAATTATTTTCCTTCTGATCGCCGGACTGTATTTCTTTGACTGTGGTTCGGCAGTGAAACTGGGACATATGGACCACCCCTACCCCGCTTTTATGTAAGTTATGTCCATGCATATAGATAGAACGAAGTTAAATATATATACCTGATAGAAGTGGGAAATAATTTAACATATGCAAAAAACTATACATTCATCTATGCATATGCATATAACCTGTATGTAAAAATGACTTTAGACTCAGACACTTGAGTCTAACAAACTCAAAAAGCCTTTGGGTAAACGAACAGAATATGTAGACAGCACATTCAAAGAGCTTGGGAAAATTGTTGAATAGTTATTTTAATTGAGTCTGTTTTCCTTCCTTCCTTCCTTTCTCTCTTTCCTTCCTTTCACCCTTCCACCCTCCCTCCCTTTCTTTTAAAGCCAAACAAACTTAGGTTCAAATCCCAGGTTTTCCACATAATGAATGACTTTGAATAAGACACTTCATCTCCTTCGACCCCAGATTTCCTACAGTGAACTGGAGCTGACTGACTCCCCCTCCAGGAGCCACAGTGACTGAGATGCTGGACACACAGTGGAGAGCGTAATGTTAATTCACAACAAGCCAACCAATGCCAACAACGTTGCTCAGTTAACTACACAATCTTAAATAAGAGTGGAAAACATACCCCACAGTCTGGTTAGGCTGCATTTTTTTCCCCCTTTTCTAAATACAGTTTTCTCCTTCAAGAATGGAGCCTCAACATTGCCCCCTAAGACTTTGGGAGTTACTGAAAGTTATTATGGCAACAAAACTAGGCATGTTTGCTGAAAAACATGTTATTGCCTCAGTGTTGCCACAGATCTATTCAGTTCATGCTCTATGAAATCCTGCTGTTAGGGGCCAAACAGATGGAATGATAAAAGGCATTCTTTGCAATACCAGCTGAGGCTCTCTTTGCCTTCGGCAAACCTCCTCTCCACAAGCTGGTGGTGGGTTATCAGAAGGGCACATATTGCAGGGAGCACTGGGTGTGGTACACAAACAATGAATCTTGAA